CCTAGACACCAAGAAGGAGAGATTGTTGACACAGAAAAACAAAAACATGAGATTATGGAGCAGCACAAGGCTGATCAGAAAACAGTGAACTCTCAGATCCTGCCCCAAATCAAGAAAATTCCTCAGCTCCGTGGCTACCTGCATTCTGGATTCTCTCTCTCCAATGGAGTTTATCCTCACAAACTGGTATTCTAAATGCTTTGCAAAGAGCTCTTATTAAAATATATGGAATAACAAAAAAAAGGCCCACATCAGTGAAAGAAATGGCCCACGAAGAACTCAGGATATCATGGGGAATACTAGGGCCACTGTTAAAACTATCTTGAGTTGGTGCCACAGGAAAAAGTGAAAGAAGCTCATCATTAGAAATATCGTTGGAAAAAAATCAGTCAATAATGGAAATAAGGAGGTCAGATTGTCTGGCAGTTGGAGAGTTAAAGTATTATCTGGAAGGCATAAAATAGTGGTATCGAATTTACACAGGAGATCTCTTCCCAACAAATTAGTAGGTACATTAGATACCCATAAGAAGGAATGCAAAATAGACAGGGAGCCCACCACCACCTTTTGGGGTGTTACCTCCCATGGGGTTCCCTTTATTCCCACTATTTTTATAGATTGAATAATGGTAAAAATCAGAGGTTGGCTTTTTAATTAGAACTGAATGAGAAGCTCCAGTATCAATAAGGCAAACATATGAGACACCCACAATTTTTTTAGACAATTCTCTGTTCTCCAGTTAGAGGAGAGGCAGAGGCAGGGCTAACAGGGGCAAGGATATTGGAAATAACACTGTTCCTTACCTCTCCCCTGCACCTTCACCCACAGCGGTTTTCCTGTTGTTCAAACTCTTTGTCATTTTGTTCCTGAACCTTCCATGCCCACTGTTCCCTTCTATTTGATTCAAGGGCTGCCCAAATCAATGTTCCTTTTGTGGGGCATAACTTTGCCTCTGAAGCATAGATCTCATCTTTGGGTTTTAGTAAACTGAGGGTTCCTTTGGTGTCACCTTTTCATCATGCAGTCTCTAGCAAAGTGCCTTCTTTTTCCACAATAAAAACAATCCTTATGACCTTTATTGGGATGCTGAATTAATCAAGGCTGAAAAAATGGGGTGTTGGATGGCTAGAAGTATGGACAGCTGCAAGGAGAGACTTAGGTTGAGCCTTTTTTTTGGACTTCTCGCCTGTGTCAGTACTAGCCTTAACAGGCTCTTTTCCCTCACAAACATATTGGGCAATCTCCTTGAGCTCCCCTATGGCTTTTTCATGCCATCCTGGAGAGTACTTGAGAAAGTAGTCTTTGATCTTAGGCAACAATTGATTGACAAAAGCTGCATTAATAATCCTTGCAACCCATTGGATTAGGGGATCTAATCTAGCATGACGCTTTCCACTCTTACATAATTTATCATAAATTTTCATGGGGTTTTCACCCATTTCCTGAATGATCTCCTGAAATTCACTAAAATTATCTGGTCTCTCTGCAAAAAGTTCCATACCCCTAAGTAAGGCATCCCTAACCTGTTGCAACTGGACAAACTCTGCAGGTTGGTTAGGATCTTGTACCGGCCAGGTTCCCTGATCTCCTGGACCCGAAATCAGTCTATTTATAATTTCAATAACACCTGCTCTTTCTCCTGGAGATAATAAGGTCTCCATGAGATCAGTAACATCATGCCATGTTGGGTTATAGCAATGAAAAATAGCTTTAATTTGATCAGTAACTACAACAGGATCTTTATCAAATCTAGATGTATCTTTCCTCCAATTAAAGAGGTCAGATGGCCTAAAAGGATGATATTCTTCAATATATAGAAGACGTCCTCTTGCTGCTTGGTGCATTTTATCTACAAGAGGAAAAAAAGCCACAGACTGCTCTGTTCCTTGAATTTTTTTATTAAGGAAGGGAGCATTTCAGAAGAAGAAGCATAAACAGAAAGGGCAGAGGAAGGAGGAATGCAAAAGTCTGGCAAAGCTTGATAAAGAGATGAGGGCTGACTGCCTTTCGACAGCAACTCCCAGCAATATGAAAAATTCATCTATTCTAAAACTAACTTTGGGAGATTGTTTAATAAAAATCTGTAAATATTTACAAGTAGAGTAGTCAGAAGTTCCGTACTTTGGCCAGAACCATTCCCTTAAGTCCTTTGTAGTCTCATACCAGATCTTACAGCTTAATAGCGCTTTCTCTGGTCTTCCCCTGATGGAGAGGGAGTCCACCCTTATCCCAGGCTGTTAAAAACTTGCTTAATGGAGATCCTTGTCTTATGCTTAACCCCATCTCTCCCGTGGGCATCACCCAACAGGAGTGGCACTCCTCATTGGAACTTCTCCTGAGAGAATCAGACTAAATTCCTGAGGTACCAGCCTTTGAGCTATTCTTCCTGAGAACTCCCCCACTAAAGATGCTGGAGAAAGCCCCTCTGATTATTTATGGGTTGTAGGGGGCAGTCCTCTAACCATGTAAGTTCTGCCTTTATGGGAGTTTTTTCCTACAGCTAACACTCAAAATATTTTAGGGATTTGTTCTGGCAAATTTCTTGAATGCTCCCATTTCTTAATTTCAGGGCTCAATTTCTAACATTTTTAAGAGCTGTCAACTAGAATATATTAAAGATCAGGTGGTTGACCTCTGGAAACTCTTGTGTGTAGCTAAACTGGGCAAACAGGGTTAAATGACTTGCCCAGGATCACACATCTAGCAAGTATCTGAGGCCAGATTTGAACTCAGGAAGATGAGTCTTCCTGATTCCAGGCCCTGCATTCTATCCACTGCACCACTTAGCTGCTTACAGTAATGAGTTGCACAGTTTCTACAATTTCCTTGAATCATCTACATTGATCACTAAACTCAGACTTCCTAAATATAGCCCTTTTTTAATTTCTGATGGTAATGATCTGGTCCTGAATTGCCTCCACATAAAGCCCTCTGTTTCCACAAATATATCCACATCCTTTTGTTTGACATTTCCTTGATGAGTTTATGTAGCTATCACCCATGAAAAGCTTTTGGATTCCATTTTTAGATCATAACTATTTCATAGCTTCCATCCAATAAGCAACTTTTAGTTACATTTGGCAAATCTAGTCATATATATTTATCATCCTTTACTATTTCTCAGTGAAACAGTATCTGTTTGTTCCAAAAGGAATTCTGCAAATATTTTTACTTTTCATATTCTCTAAGACTGTTTATCAATGCTCTTTCTAAATTTTCACAAGGAAGCATTGGTCTTCCTATGACGATCACCTCAAGAGAGTGAAGAGCTCTCTCCATTAATTTTGTAGGAATTTTTGTTAAAATACTTTCCAAACATGTTAGGGTTTATTGTACACTTTCAAACGTATATACTGAGGATGACATTGCATAGATATTAATTGCTTTTAACATGTACTTCCCACTCAGCTTTGATTTCAGGATGCCAATAAGTCGCTTAACATATTCAGCCACAGATTTCTTCTTGGTAGTTTTTTGCTCGATGAATCTTTTCAGAAAGAGATCAAGGTATTTGCAAGTATTGCCTTCATCCATGTATTCAATGTGTCCTCCAGATTTAAAGTCAAAACCTTCAGTCTCTTTCTTGCCTTTGTGTATATTAAGAATTTTTCATGTATTGAGTCCAAACACTTTATTACTGTTACTACAATAATTTTATTATTAATGAATAGATTAATGAGTTGTTTAATGCATGAATGAGTAATATCATATGAAATAAATTCAACAGCCCATACCCTGGTATCCAGAGAACTTCCCTTGCTTACTGCTACCTCTCTCTCTCTCAGTCTTCACCCTTAATATCACAGAATCTTAGAGATGGAAAGAATCCCATAGATTAACCTATACTTGAGCAGAAATCTCCTCTGCAACTCCCCTGGTAAGCAGTCATCCTACCTCTACATGAAGACTTCCCAAGACTACCCATCCACTTTTTGGTTTTGGTTTTGGGTTTTTTTGCTTTTTTTTTGGTGAGGTAATTGGGGTTAAGTGACTTGCCCTGGGTCACACAGCTAGTAAGTGTCAAGTGTCTGAGGTCAGATTTGAACTCAGGTCCTCCTGACTCCAAGGCCAGAGCTCTATCCATTGCCACCTTTTGGATAGACCTAATCATGAAAAAGTTTCTCTTTACATTGAGTCAAAAATTTCCCTTTCTGCCAGTTCTATCCATTGCTCCTAGATCTGCCTCCTGGGGACAAGCAGAACAAGACTTTTATATGACAGCTCTTCAAATCCTTGACAGATCTTATAAACCCCCTGAAACTTCCTTTTTACAGGCTAAATGATCCCAGTTCCTTCAACTTGACATTCAAGGTCATCTCTCACCCTGGTTGCCCTCCTCTGGAAGCTCTCTAGTTTATCAATGTCCTTCCTAAAATGTGTCATCCAGAATGGATCATAAGACTTGAGGTCAGACCTTGTCTGACCAGTACAGAGAGCAGCCAAATATACTTCTAGCATTGTAGACACTCTCAATGCTAGAGAACATTAGTATTTTTGACTTCTGTTTCTCCCTGTTGACAATCCTTCTAACACTTGAAGACATGAATCATGCCACTCACTTTTCCCCTAGATTCCCCCTTCTCCAGATTAAGTTCTTTCTTTAAGCCCCTGACACAATTTCCTCCCAGACAGAAGAATCTTGACAATCATCACCTATTTCCCCATTTTTGCCAAAGGGCTAGCCCTGCTGGACAGCTCTTAAGGAATGGGTCTTTGGTTTTCTGTTTCTTTCATATTATCATTGTGTCTAGGATGGTTCTACATATACCAAGATTGCTTAAAAGACATTGCTGCTACTTTATGGTTCAACCAAAGAATCAAAGATGCATTGGGCAATGTGATCCCAGAAAGAGAAATGTCCACAGCAATTGATCCCAAAATATAAAGACCTCAACAGATAGGGAAGAAGTAGGAGTATCCTCAAAGTCCATCTAGCTGTATGTTCCTCCTCCAGAGGAGATCAGAAAAAAAGAGGAAAGGAAGGAAAAATTCCAGGCAGGTACAGCAGTATTAACCTTATAATCACATAGCTAACAAAAATAGGATTCAGAGCATTAAAGAAATTTTGGATTTGATATTCAAATTTGATATTCAAATTGATATCCAAAGTTTAAAATGGCCAACAAGAGAGGTCCAGTTAAGCACAGCTTGCCCTGACCAGCAGCCTCTCATAGCTCCATATTCTTCTCCTTGCTCAATTCTGGATATGAAGTCCACAGGACACCACAATAGAACCCTGGCAGGCAGAGAAAACAAGTTTACATTATGGGAAACTAGAAGAAAGTTTGGAGTTACCCTAATAGTGTGCTCCAAAGGCTCACAGAAATAAAGAAATTCAACATCTAGTCCTAGACCCCCCACTAACTTGATATATGAAGTTAGACAAATCTCATAACTTCTCTTGGCCTAAAACCATTGAACCACAGATTAGAGACTGAATATGGCTTTAAGAGTTCATCTCATGCAACTGTATCACTTTTCAGAGAAGAAGACTGAAGCCCAGAGAGTGAAGGTTTTGGTTTGGTTTTGAGACTGCATTTCCCTGTTTCAACCAGTGGTCACTAATGATGAGTCCATCCTTCTACTAATCAACACATAAGCTTTGACCTGCTCCATTTCCAATATGGGCTTGATTCCCCCTCATTAGGCAGCCTAGTGGCCCTCCTACTCCCCAACCCTGAGGACTCGTCATATTGGTCCCATATATAGTGTGGATGCCTTTAGCCTGATTGTCTTTAGCCCTGCTGCAGCTCAGTACTCCCAAACTTAAGAGATCCACTAGCCTCAGTTTCCCTAACAGCAGAGACTACAGGTATGCACTGCCATGCCCCACCCAAAAGGGATTTTTTTTTACCCCAAAGCACTGAACTTAAAATGTGGGAAATAGTATTGGATTTGGCATCAGAAGACCTTGGTTGAAATCCCAGCTCTGTTATTTATTACCTGGCTGACCTAGGACAAGTCAGCTAACTCCTCCTGGCCTCTGTTGTCTCAACTGAAAAATGATGGGGGGAGAAGATTCTGGAAAGATGGCAGAGTAGGTCAGAAAAGTCCAACCTCTCAAGATTTTCCCCCACAAAAGAAATAAAATAGCACTTCATGGCGAACAAAGTGTGGGTAAAAATAAATAAGAATAGGGGCATAACAAGGGTCCGCTTGGACAATTCGAGAAGATCTGAAGAAAAATCCCAGGAGAGGTTTGGTAAGAGTAAACATCTCCAGGTAAGGGTCCACTTTAACAAGTGTGCTTAAACAACAAGCCGCAAACCCTGGGGTTAGCTGGGTTGGGAGGTTGCCTAGACCCCAGCCACAGGAACCTTTACCCAGGGAACTGTGAGCGGAGTTGGCTGTCTGAAGCTGGGGAGGGATCAAAGGAATAAGAAGGATGACAAGGAATGCCAGACCAGCTGTGCTTCGGAGAGCAGCCAGGGGAGAAGGAACCAGCACATGCCAGGTGAGTGCAGAAGCAGTGGGGCAAAATGTCCCTGGATGTGGGCACTTACAGGAGGCTGGAGGTTTGGTTTTGGTTCCAGGCTAGAAGGCAGAACTAAAGATCTGGGGCAAGAGGCACCATCCCCCATATCCAAGGGCTAGAGGTGATTACAAAAATTAAGCTATTACTACCAAAAAACAAAAGCACAGGCAAAGGAGAAAGAATCCAACCATAGAAAGTTATTATGGAAATAGAAAAGACCAGGGTTCATCTTCAGAGAAGGATATCAAAGCAAAGAAACCCTCTTCTACCCCAAAAAGTAACATCAAACAGTCATCTGCCCAAAAAGAATTCATTGAAGAACTTTAAAAAGACTTAAAAAATCAAATGAGAGAGATTGAGGAAAAACTAAAATACATAAATAAATAAGAAGAATAATCCAAGAAAAAAACAAGAAGATTATGAAAAGAAAGTCAACCAATTAGAAAAGGATATCCAGAATCTTAAGGAAGAAAATGACACTTTGAAAATTAGAATTGGGCAAGTTGAAGCCAGTGAAGTTATAAGAGATCAAGAAATAATTAAACAAAATATGAAGAATGAAAAAAGTAGAAGAGAAAATGAAACAATAGAAAAACAACTGATCTGTAGAGTAGATCAAGAAGAGAAAATGTAAGAATAATCAGGATACCTGAAAGCTGTGATAAAAAAAAAGAATTTTATACAATAATACAAGAAATAATTAAAGAAAATTGTCCTGAATCATTAGAACAAGGGAGAAAAGTAGAAATAGAAAAATCCACCTATCACCACTTGAAAGAGATCCTATGAGGAAAACTCATAGGAATATTATAGTCAAATTCCAAAACCCCAGCTCAAGAATAAAATACTAAGAGCAACAAGAAACAAAACAATTTAAATATGACAGTGTCACAATTAGAATCACCCATGACCTAGCAGTGGAAACACTAAAGGACAGCAGGTCTTGGAACACTATATATCAAAGAGCCAAAGAACTGGGGTTCTGGCCCAAAATATAATCATGAATGAAAAAAAATGGACATCTGATCAACTGTCAGACTTTCAGGATTTTGTTTAAAAAAAAAGCCTGACCTTAATAGAAGATTTGACATACAAGAGCCAAGAGAAACACAAGGTACACACCAAAAACTGATTCCAAGGGATTCAATATGGATAGACTATCTACCTTTTATGTATGTAAAATGTAAAACATATGTCTAAGATTGTCATTAGTAATCAGGTAGTTCATAAGAAAGACTGGGGTAGACCTGAGTATGATATAACATTAAAAAGTAAAACCACTTAGGAACAGCTAAAAAGAGTAATTATTTTATATAAATGAGGTGCAAGAGGAAGAATCAACGCAAAACAATTAGATGGGGGAGGAGGGTTGGTAGTTCTGGTAACCTACTTTCATCAGGAATGGGTTTAAGAGGGAATAATATATACATATATATATATATATATATATATCTAGAAGAGTATAAAAGTCTACATTCAAAGAAATAAAATGATAAGGGGATAGGGATGGGGGAGAGGATAAGAAAGGGATCTCTAGAGGGGAGGGTGAGGGAATAGGTTATGGGGGTTATAGAAGGGTGTTTAGATTTATGGGAATGGGAGGTTAGGGGAGGGATCCTGGGTGGGGGGTAGACTAAGTAATAGGAGGGCAAGGTAGCAGGTAGAAGTAAAGAAGAGGAGACAGGAGGGAGAGGGGATAAGAGATACACACAAACAAAATAAAAATCAGGAGTAGAATTTGTTAGGGAAGGTATATGTGTGTGTGTGTGTGTCTACATATGTATGTATATATGTGTGTATATCTATATGTGTGTATATATTTAAAAAGAAATGTATATGTACTTAATTGTAGGGGGGGAGAGTAAGGGGGAAAAAGAACAAAGTAAAAAGTGCACAGCAGAGAACAAAAGAAAACTTACAAGGAAGCAAAGAAAAGATAGACAACTCTCAACACAATATGTAGTATTTCTCATACAGGCTTTCTTGAAATGAAAATTTATTGCTATACATATATATACATATATATATTGAATCATCTCATGTTCTGCTGTGCACATCACATGCTTTTTCTTTTCTTGCTTTGTATTTAAGTTTCAATATTTAAGTTTGTGATATGTTTCTTTTTCTTTTCTCTATTCTGTATTTGAGTTCTGGTGTTTGAGTCTAAAACAAAAAAAATGAACGGATTGGACCAGAAAATCTCTAAGGCCCCACTCAGGATAAATTCTATGCTCCTAGTAAAAGGCAGGCGAAGGACTGTAACTCAGGTCTTCTGATTTCAAATCCAGTGCTTATTATACATCAACATGTGGCCTCAGTTTTTAAATCTGTCATGTGAACATAACTGTTTTTCCCGCCTCAAAGAAGTAATGGATACATGAAAGTCTTGAAAAGCTCTATATGTAACCTGGCATGAGGGGTATGTTATAAATAGAGCAAAAGGTCACATGATGTCATGGAAAGAGCACAGAACTGGGGTTCAAGAGATGAGTTTGAATTCAAGCTCTGACCTTTACAAGCGGTCACTTCCCCTCTATAAGATGAGGAGGTCGGACTAGGAGGGGCAGTTCTCAAGCTTTTGAGAACCCATTTACCCTCTTAAAAATTATTGGAGACCCTCTCAAATGTTTTTTTTTTGTTTTAGTTTACGTAGGTTTTAGCTATTGATATTTACCATATTAGAATTTAAATGTCATAGTATTATTATAAAAATAGTTTTGATCTTTCTGGCCCTCAAATAGGGTCTCAGGGACCCACCTATGGATCCCCACCTTACTTTGAAAACTGCTGCACTGGATAATCTCAGAGGTCCCTTCTAGATCTGAATCCTATGTTAAATCTTATGTTAAACATATGAAAACTTATAAACCATTATCTCCATTTTACTGGTGAGGAAACATAACTAATTAGTAGCATAGCAAAGACTAAATCTCAGACATCCTAACTTCAGTCCCAACTCTTCTTCTAGTAAGCCAGGTTAGAATTGTTTTTAATCTCAAGGGGGAAGATCATTGGCTATAGAGTTAGAGTGCTTTGACTTAAATCTTAGCTCAGTTCACTCATTACTCGGACAAGTTATTTAACCTCTATGAACCTCAGTTTCTTCATCTATAAAGTGTGGGAATAGGTCCAGATGACCCTCTTCTAAACTCTAAATCTATGATCCTATGAACCTCTGGACCTACCAATGGTCCCCTGGTCATTAATTTGTTACCTTCCTTCCCAGAACCTGAGTCTGTTTCTTATTAAACCTGGCTCCCCTAAGCCGGGACCACTCTTTCTAAGCTGTCTGCACATATAAGCAGCAGAGATTGGACTCTATAGGATCCAATGTGGTAAGACAGAAAGAGTACTAAATCTGAGGTTGACTCTAACACTCAGATGTGTAACCTCATCATTTTATCCAGGCTCTAGCTTCCTCAACTGCAAAATGAAAGGGCTAGATGAGCTCTAGTTCTTTCTAGTTCTAAAGCCTGTCATCCCATAATATTTCCTGTCTCTTTGTGTCTCTATCCTACCCATGCCACCCCCATACCCCAAACCCAACCAAGCGTCATGAGGACACAGGGCCAAGACTTGATAGACGATGCCAAAACCTAATTTAATCATTCTTACCTCATACATAAAGACCTCAGGGGTGATGTAGCTCACTTTAGTAATGGTGGGAAGAGCAACACCCAAGCCAAAGAGTGCTATGAAAGGGGAAAAAAAATCCGCAATCAGTTGTGTCCCTCCCCTGGCCACTCAAACAAAATGACCTCCTCCCACACCAAAAACAATCATTTGAATTTCCTAATGAAATGCATGGACCCCATATGCTGCTCCAGACATGGCCATTCCCTTCCTTCCCAAAATTGCAATTCAAATGTCACCAGATGAGGAGGTAAGATTCCAGGAGTCATCTTGTAATTTCCATTTTAACTCAGGGTCCAACATTGCCAACTCAGCCATGTTCCCAAGCAAGAGAGTTCAATGGAAAGAGGGTAAGGCCTGTTTCATATACTGGCCCTGACACTAGTTACCTGAGTGACCTTAGGCAAGTCACTTATTCTCTCTCTTAGTTTCATCATCTGCAAAATAAAGGGACTGAACCGGTTGGCTTCTAAGGTCCCTTTGTAGCTCTAAATCTACTATCCATGAATGTAGAAACTAGAACATGTCTAGAGGAGAGCAACCAGAAAGGAGACTTGAAATTATGCCACAAAATGATTAGTTGCATGAACTGGGGATATTTGCTCTGGAAGAAGAAAAGACTTCAACTAGGAATGTGATCTTCAAACACCTGAAAAGGTGTCACAGAGAAAAGGAAGCAGGCTTGTTTTGCTTTTCCCTGAAGAGGAAGACCTAGAACCAGTAGAGAAAGTTACATGGAGACAGAGTTTAGTCCCATATAAAGAAGAACTTAACCCATTAACTGTCCAGCTGGAAGACTCAGTGGATAGAGTACTCTTGAATCAGGAAGACCTGAGTTCAAATCCAGCCTCAGACATCTGTGACCTATGTGACTCTAGGCAACTCACAACCTCTGGACCACCTCAGTTTCTTCAACTGCAAATGGAGGTAACAATAGCACCTATTTCATAGGGTTGTTGTGAGGATCAAATGAGATATTTGTAAAGCACACAGCACAGTACCTAGCACATAGTAGGTACTTAATAAATGTTTGTTCCCTTCCCCTTTCTAGAACAGAATGAGCTACCTTCAGAGGTAGCACATAGTAGGTACTTAATAAATGTTTGTTCCCTTCCCCTTCCCAAAACAGAATGAGCTATCTTCAGAGGTAGTGAGTTCCCCATCACTGTAGACACATAAGCATGAACTTGGTAACTTTCAAAGAATCATAGATTTATCCCACCTCTAGTCAAAGAGACCATAAAGGGGACACCGAATAGACTTAGATAATCTCTAACACTGTCAGCTTTAAGATTCTGGAATTTAGGGGGAGAGAGGAGGAATAAACCCATGGTTACCCTAATCACCCCCCTTGGGATATTAAAGCAATCAATCACCTCCCCCTCAGTCTCCATATATTGAATAAATAAGTGAATCCTTTTATTCCACCCCCAGCCAAACCTGTATATAGCATCAGAAGGTGATAGACCTTACATCTAGAAGAACTCTTAGTTAGATAACTGGTCCAGCCCCCTCACTTTACAGATGAAGAAATTGAGGCCCAGAGGTTAAGTGGCAGAGCCCAGATTTTAACCCAGTTCCTCTGACCTCAGATTCAGCCTCTTTTCTCTAAACCACATTTATCTTAGGAAGGTCTCTACAGTATTGTACCAGCTTCTCCATTTTGCTTCCTAAACTAACAGATATTCTCTGAGATGCACCACCCAAAGGCACCTTATCTCCCAGAGCTACACATGCTTTTTTCCTTGGCTGAGGTTCTTACCATTCAGGTGATCACTCAGGGACTTCTTGACCATGGATATTATTAAAGCCTTCACCTTTGACAACTGGCACCAGATTCCAGAAATGTGTGTTCCCAATGTCAGACAAATCAGGGTGCCGTACACCAGTGAGATGTGGGTAGGCAAAGGAGAGAAACAAACAGACAGGCTGAGAAGACTCTGTTCCCAAAACAAAGCCAAGTATGTCTCTCCCTTCCTCACATACCTTCCATGGCTCTCCTTGACCTGTATGATGCAATCTAAACTCTCTCGCCTGACACCCAGGGTTCACATTTCTTTACTATCTGTGTGACCTTGTGTAAGTCCCTTCCCCCTTTCGGGGAGGTCAACTTCTTCATCTATACCGTCCTAGAATCATCAATTTGGAGCTGGGAGAGACCTCAGGGGTAGTCTAGTACAGCTTTCTCATTTTGCAGGTGGAGAAACTGAGGCTCAACAAGATTAAATGACTTGTCCAAGGTCACACAGGTCATAAATGTCAGAGCTAAGATCCCAGCCAAAGTTCTCTAACTGAAGAGCCCATGGGTTAAAGTGCATCATTTCTAAAGGCCTTTCCAGTTCTAAGTCCTATGAGTCTGGGATCCACATTCAAGCCCCAGGTGACCACTCCAACCGCATCTCCCTCTAATCCCAAATATGGCTAGGTGGTGCAGTGTTTAGAGTGCTGGACTTCAATTCAGGAAAACCTGAGTTCAAATTCAGCCTCAGACACATACTAGCTGTGTGACCTTAAGCAAGTCACTTAACCTCTGTCTACCTAAGTTTCCACAACTATAAAATGAGGATAATAGTTATGCCTACCTCCAAAGGTTATTGTGATGATAAAATGAAATGTTTGTAAAGAGCTTTGCAAACCTTAAAGTGCTATATATAATGCTATATACTATGTGTATTATTATACTCATAGTAACAACACTGGATAATGATAACTAGCATTTATATGGTGCTTTATAAAGCTGTTTACAAATATGATCTCATTTTATCCTCACAACTTGCCCAGGGTCCCAAAGCTAGTTAGTGTCTGAGGCTAAATTTGAGCTCAGGTCTTCCTGACTCCAGGCCTGATGCTCTACCATATCACCTAGTTACCATTCCTTGAGTTTGTCTTCTGTCTTTCCTTCATGCCTTTGCTTACTCTGTTTTTTATTTTCTGCATGAAATCAACATCTATTAAAATTCTGTCCTTCAGAGTTCAGCACATGTTTACTGCTATGCTGACTTTTTTTTAAATACTTACATCAAAAGTACCCACATTGGAGGAAGTCACTTTGAGCTCGATATCCCTAGAAAATAATCACACACACAAAAAAAGATGAGGCAGGTAGCCCTCTTTATTAAGTTAACATCAGTCAGTGAACCAACTTTTATTAAGTACCCACTGTGTACCAGACACTGTTCTAAACACTGGTCTTAGCATCAGTGCTTCATCTCTTTCTTCATACTCTTCCCCACCTAACTATCCACAGACACAACTCCTTCCAATCCACAGATGATCTGATTTGATGAATAAGCTTTAAAAAAAAAAGCAATCATGTTATGAGGGAAAATACTTCTGGTTCAGGAATCTGGAGACCTGGATTCTGGTCCTAACTTTGCCACTAAATCCCTATGTGATCTTTAGAAAGTCTTTTCTTGTAGCGCCTCAGTTTCTTCCTTTGAAAAATGAGGAGGTCAAACTAGATATCTAAGGTCCTAAGTTGAGAGATGCCTAAATATAAGCTAGAAAAGGGTTTGCCCTCCCTCTGAAGGCTCACTAAGAGCTGTCAAAGAAGTGTGGAATGTGTTCAAGCAGGGATTCTTGACTTGAGGTCCATGTACCTTTTTAAAAAAGAAAAATTGGATAATTGAATTTCAATATAATTGCTTTCCTTTGCAGTCCTATTATTTTAGGAATTTTAAAACATTGTTCTGATAATGTTCCATAGGCTTCACCAGGCTGCCAAAGGTGTCTATCACACACATGCACACACACACACACACACACACACACACACACACACACACACATAAGAACTTCTGACTTAATTAAATTAAAACAAATGAAAGACTCAGCCACTGTTTACCTGTTTGGCTCTTCCTAAGCCTTTAGAAGCTCTAGATTCCCGAATCTTCTGCTTTGGAGAAGGTGGGAGGAGCTAAAAGCATGGCTCACCTGGTAGTATCATCTGATTCCTTTTTACCCAGTGTTAGCAACAAAATCACTGAGGGAAAAGGAGGAGAGATATACAGATACTGATCTGATGACATTTGCACCAGAAATAAGCCAAGAAGATACTTCTACCTCTCTTTTAGGGCTACAAAAGCCTATGCATGATTTTTATTCAATTGTCTTCTCTGATAATGATAATGATTCTCCCTCACATTCCCTTTGGTACTTCACAGGTTGCAAAAGGCTTTCACTCTCAAGTGTTCATTCAGTTCTCACTATAGCCTTGGAGGGGGGCAGAGCAGAGATCATCAAGACCATTTTATAGATGGAGGGTGAAGTTCACAGGAGCATAACAAAACAGGGCTAAGAAGGCAGTCATTTAAGAAGGCTTGATATGAGCAGTCAAGGTGTGAATAGTACCTAACTCTTCTATTTGCTTTGAGCCAACACAATTTCATTAAATATGGACCACATCCTTTGACTCTTCACTATGCCATATTATATAATTTCAGAGCTGGGCGGAACCTTGAAGATGACCTAATGTAACTCTCTCATTTTGCAAACAAGGAAAATAAAACCCAAAATTTGACTTTCCCAAGAACACACAAGCCAACAATATGCTGAGATTTGAACCCAAGACTCTGGATTTTTAGTCTAGTGCCCCTTTCAATGATATGGATCATGAAATTTAGAAATGGAGGAGACTTTAGAGATTATAGAATCCAGTCCCCCTCTTTTTTACAAATGAGGAAACTGAGAGCCCAAGTGTTTAAATGATTTGACCAGAGTTACCCAGGTAGTGGGTAGAGGAGACAAGATTTGAAGACAGCTTCTTTTATTCCAAATCCTGTGTTCTTTCCAGGAGCTCATTAGGCTCTAGGCAATCCTGGCTACCTTTGCCTTACACCCATGAGGTTGCAGGAGCTGTTCCTTACTTCAGGAATGATACATTAGCCTGCAGCTTCTTTCCAGACATAATGATGTTGAGCTTCAGTTCCACAACCTTCAATGAAAAGGGAAAGGAGAGTCAAGGAAGGAGGACTTAACCACATAAGCATACCAGTCTTCAAAGACTTACTCAAGAGTATTGTGAGTGGCAGGATGAGGATGTGGGGAAAGTGATAGGAGAAAAGGGAAAAAACCATAACCAGCCATCATCTCTGTACCTATAGCTCTGGATTTACATGACTTTGTACCCTCATTTAACCAATCAACAAATATTTATTAAATGGTTACTATGTGCCAGGATCTCTGCTAGACACACAGAACAAAAAAAAAAAAGAAATAGTTCTTGCCCTCAAGAAGCTTGCATTCTATTAGGTGTGCAACATATATACATATAAGTATATTCAAAGCACTTGCCCTTTCTCTGACATGAGCCATTAGAGGAAAGCAATGAGTTTGGGGGATCACAAGCAATGCATTGGGGGAAAGGATTAATTATTGTAAGGAGAAAACAAAGATGAAAAAGGATAGGATGAGGAAGAGGGGAATCCTAACCATTGTTGGAAAGTTGGAGGGTAGAAGAATGTGATGTCAAAAAGGAAGAAAACAAAGACCACTGGACATTAAATATTAAGTATAATTTACCCATCTTTAAAATGAGGGAATTGGACTCACTGGTCTCTAAGGTCCTTTGGGGAGGCAGCATGGTACAGTGAAGATATAATTGGTCTTGGATTCAATCCTGCCTCTGCTACTTACTACCTGTATAACCTCAAGCAGGTCACTTCACCTTTCTGTGCCTCAGTTTCCTCATCTATACAATGGGGGGGTGTGGACTAGATGTCCTCCAAAGTTCCTTCCCAGCTTAGGTCTATGATCCTATAATTTTTCAAAGAACGATAAATTATCAGAGCTGGAGAGCACCTTAGACATCATCTAGTTCTATATGTGAGAGATCATCACGCTTTACCAAAGAGGAAACTGAGGTCTAGAGAGGATAATGATATTCCTGTGATCTGCAACTATGCCTTGACCCCAACATAGTAATGTCATTTTGGTCCTTTTCTAGCACAAATGACAACAACCAAACAAGAGAGTAGCAACCAAGGCATTGAAAATTTTCTTACAGAAGAAGAAAAATGCTTAAAAGGAAATTGAAATCTACAAACACTAACTGCTCTCAATGAGTTCCAGTCACTGTGTGGAAAACCTCTATCCCAATGTACTGAAGCAACTGAGGAGTATGATTGCTATGCCACCATGAGTGATTTCGGAAAGATAATGGAGAACTACTGAAGAATTGGAGATAAATAAATGTTGGACTCAGAGGAGAATTAGGAATAGAAGTTGCAAAGGGACAAATTTGGGTTTGGTGTTAGGGGAAAACTTCCTAACAATTAGAAGTATCCTCAAATGGAATGACTTGCCTTGGGAAGCAACAGTTTCCTCCTCATTTGGTGATCTATAAACAGGCTAGATGACTACTGTTCAGATGTTACAAAGGGAATTCTTTGCTACATGTGGATTCGGTTACATTAGATGGCCTCTGAGTTCCCTTCCAACTCCGAAACTCTAGGGCTGCACCAAAATCTGAAAGCGAGTCTGCAAACTAGAAACTAATGAGTTTAACTTAAATTCCTGGCAGAATTCTAGAACAGATTATTAAAGGAACAATTTGTAATGAAAATGATGATCAATAAGAGCCAGCATTATTTCATCATGAATAAGTCATTCACTGTCTGAATCAGTATAGAGAGAAATAAGTAGAACCAAAAGGAAATACATTCAATGATTACAAAGTAAGTTGTCTTTTTTTAATGACTAAACAACTAAAAGGGTACTGAGTAAATGAAAAATTAACAACAAACCAGAGAAACAGTAATGAAGCAAAGCTCTCTCCTTTTAGCAGAAGCAAGAGATCCAATACAAGAACAAGGGAAGAATTTAATTTTGAGAGTAGAATAAGGAAGAACTATTTCCAGAAGTGACTGTGATATAAGAAGAAAAGGCATCAATAAAACTTTTTTTTCCAAAACAGCATAACCATTATGGAAACTGGTCCTACCATTCTGGAAAAAAAATGAGAATAATGTGAGAAGAGTCATTCAACTATTCATACTCTTTGATCCAAAAATATCACTATTGGCAATTTAATGTTTTTTCTTTTTCTATATTTCACTACATTTATTTTTCTTCTAATGGGTATATTGAGGAGTGTGCTGATAAATGTTTAACAACCACCCTCTGGGGGGAAGGGAGGTGTACACACAACAAACTCTTAAGTTTAATATGCATTATTAATATTTCTCCATCTCTTTATTAAGTCTAGACAATAAACAAAACAATAAATCAAATCCTGATTTTTAGTATTTGCCTATTTCTGAGATGTGAATTCTCACCCTGGAAAATTTAACAATTGGCTCTCTTGAGCTCATTCAAGCTTACTCCAGCACATTCCTCTATGACCCAAGGATATCAAAGTCACAAAGGAAAGCCCCATATATACCAACATGTTTGCAGCAGCACTTTTTGTGGCAGCAAAGAACCAGAAAGAAAGTGGTTACTCAATGATTAGGAGCAGCTCAACAAATTGTAGTGTACAAAGGTGATGGAATATAATTGAGAAACAATCAGTATGAAGAATGGAGAGTATAGGAAGACTCGTATGAACTGATACAGTGTGAAGTAAGTAGAACCAGAAGAGCAATATACAATAACTATGACAATATAAATGCAAACAGTACCCCAAAAGAGCCAAATTACGATTTTAACGGTCACTCTCAGTCCAGAAAATGTATAATGAAACATACCTTCCTCCTCTTGGTAGGAAGCTAGGGAACTGCAGGGGTTGAACGTTATATACACTGTCAGACACTCTCTCCGTTGTTTTTGCTTAAGTTTTTTTCCCCTTTGTTCTAAGGAAGAGTTCAATACTAGATAAAGGGGGAAGGAGTTGGAGATGAGGAATACCCAGAAACGTCTGAGGTATAATGAACAAAAATATTAATAATTTTTTTTACTTAAAAGAATTCATTGGAATAGTTTCATTTTATATCATTAGAATTACATTCTTGACAGAATCTCATCCTTTCTTGGAATGACTTTCCCTATTGAGTTTAAGCTTTTTAATCTTACTCTGAAATCAGCTCTCTCTGGTGAGTTCTCTCTAAATCTATTGTAAACCATGGCCTGGGGCCTTTCCTAAAACTCTAGGTTCAGAGTCCCCCGCCCCCATCCCAATCCTAGGGACAGTCTCCGAGAGGTGCTTTTCTTTAGCCAAACTCATTTCCTGTCTTTATTGATAGAGCTACTAGACCAATAAATCAAGGGACTGATATGGATAAAATTTACCTAAATTTGAGCAAAACATTTGACAAAGTTTCTCATATCATTCTCATAGACAAAACAGATTGATTGTGCAGGTGAGTATATCTTAAGCTAGTTGAAGGACACTACCCAAGGAGCATTCACTAATGGGTTGATGTCAACAGGAAGGATGGGGATTGATTTTTCATTTTGTCTTTTTCTCCTCAGTGTTCAGCACAATTCTCAGATCAGACTTTCTCCTGCTACTAATAGTCAATGTACTGTAAGTAGGCATTTAATAGTTTGGACTAGGTTGGACTGAATGATGGAAGGGTTCCAGTGGCATGTCCTATGACATTGACCTTGGCCTCATGCAACTTAACTTCCTATATTAGTGACTTGGAAGAATCCATAGAGAGCATACATATCAAAATTTCAGATGACATAAAGTTGAGATAGCTAACATACTGAATGACAAAATCAAGATACAAAAAGATTACAGAGAGCTAGAATGATGAATTGAAGTTATTAGGATAACGTTTGATAGGGATAAGTGTAAAGTTCAACACAGACTTTAAAAAATCAGCCTCTTAAGTAAAGGAGAGTTCATGAGATAACAAATTATGTGAATAAGAAAGATCTGAGCCTGTTAGTGAACTACAATCTCATTAGGAATCAACAGTGTGACATGGTAGGTCAAACAAGTCTCCTAGCATGCATGAAGTGAGGCATTGAATGAAGGAAATGACAGTCCTACTCTACCTTGGCCCTAGTTGCCTAGCAGGGCAGGAAGGTGGTGCAGTAGTTAGAGAGTCAGGCCTGGAATCAGGAGAAAATGAGTTCAAATCCCACCTAAGACACTTACTAGCTGTGTGATCTCAGGTAAGTCACTTAACCTCTCTGACTGCCTCACTGTCATCTTTTGTAGAATGGGGATAAGTAATAAGCTACCTCCCACTGTTATTGTGGGGATCAAATTAAATAATAATTGTAAAGTATTTAGCACAGAGTCAGGCACACAGTAAGCACTATAAAAATGTTATCTATTATTATTATGAGTCAGACAAATACTGAGTATTTTGTTCCATTCTGCACATCACATTTTAGAAAGGACATTGAAAGAACAGAATACATCTAGAGGAAGGCAGCCAGGATGCTGAGAGGACTGGAGTACTTGTCATAGAAGGATTCATTAAAGAAACTGTGTTTATTCAGCCAGGAGAAGAGACGATTCAGTGGGAAACATGCTAGTTGCCTTCAAGTATTACAGAATTGTCATTTGAAAGAAGACCTGCTTAAGATCTGGTTATTCTGCTTGGTCTCCAGAAACTAGAATGAGGAACAATGGGGGAAATTTTCAGAAGTGGCATATTTTGGCACTATGTGAGTAAATCACCCTAGTAATGAGACAAGTCCAAGAGGAGACCTCAGGAGCTGCCTCTGGAATTAATGGATTCTCCCTCCCTGAGGAGTTTTTAAAGTTGAGGATGGATGATGTTGTCAAAGTGGTTGTCAAGGGCGATAGAAAAGGGATTCATAGTCAATTCTAAGTTGGATTAGTTGACTACTGAGATCTTTTCCAATTTTTAGAGTCTACGAATCTTTGATCTGGAAGGTATCTTAGAATATAAAATATTAGAGCTGGAAGGGCCTTTGAACACAGGATGTCAGAGCTGGAAGCTACCTGAGAAACATAGAATGTCACAAGAGGAAATGCCTTAAGTCATAGAGGTTCAGAGGTAGGCAGGATGAAATTTAGGGATTACAAGGGCCTTGAAGTACAAACTTTCAGAAGTAATTGACCTTAGAACACAGAATGTCCAAGTTGGAAAGGACCTTATAACTTGGGATGTCAGAACTGGAAGTGATCTTATGAGGTAGAATGTCAGAGCTGCGTGGTTTCTCCCTTTTGTTCTGATTCTTCTTTCACAACATGACTAATGTGGAAATATCTTTAATATAATTGTACATGTATAGCCTATTTTAGATTGCACACTGTCTTGTGAAAGAGGGAGGGGAGAGAAGGGGAAAAATTTAGAACTCAAAATCTTATAAAAGTGAATGTTGAAAACTAAAAATAAATAAGTAAATAAATTTAATTTAAAAAAACAAATGTCAGAGCTGGAAAGAACCCCAGGACATGCCATTTCTTACAGCTAGAATGCCCTCCTGTCCCAAAGTCCTCAACTTCAACCTCTCCACCCATCCTCTTGCCTGTTAAAATCCAGTGTGTTCTTTCATGTGTCTTATATGTGTACTTAACCAATTCATTTAACATCACTGAATCTCAAGACTCTGGTCTGTAGAATGGAAATGATGATGACATCTGTCCCTACCTCACGTGCCCCTGGCAAAGATGAGTGTATCCGTGAGCTCAGTACCCTGCCTGTGCAGTGTGCTTTAGAGGACTGGCTGGATTGGAGAGGAAGTAGGCAGAAGCTAGAGTCAGCTACTCCATCCTGATCCTTACCATATCCAGAGAAAAGAGGGACTTGAAGGCTGAGTTAGAGGAGATAGCCAAGACCTCTGTACGGTAATTGAGTAATAATGATGTTCTGTTTCTGTGGATCGTAGGGACGGGTGAAGCATTGATCCGAGCCTTCATCGTTATGGGCATGGACTTGGGGAATTGGCGGTGGACCTGTGGAGGGCAAAGAGAAAGAGGACCCTTCAGGTTCCTTGCTGGATCCTAGGAGCAGAGGCATACCCACTATGGGACAGAATGTCCCAAGGACTATCATCTTCCTAACTTTGTTGCAAAATAAAAAGGAAAAAATTGAAGCCAAAAGGTGCTCATCCACAACCCCAATCATGGACTTAAATTACTTAGCCTGTGGTCAACCCTGTCCCACTAAGAGCAAGCAACATGTCTGGGCTTAAGCCCACCTTTAAGAGTGGTACAGTGGATAGAGCACTGGGCTTGGAATCAGGAAGACTCATCCTCATGAGCTCAAATCTAGCTTCACACACTTACTAGCTATGTGACCCTGGGCAAGTCACTTAACCCAGTTTGCCTCAGTTTCCTCATCTGTAAAATGAGGTGGAAAAGGAAATTGCAAACCACTCCAGTATCTTTGCCAAGGAAACCCCAAATGGGGTCACAAAGAGTCTGAAATGACTCAACAACAACAAAGATATGACCCATCAGTCCAGGGCCACAAACATACCCCGTTGCCCAGCAAATAAGGATCATACTATCCCTAGTCCCATGTCACCATCAACCAGATGCAGAGACAGACATCCCAGAAACAGACCTCAGGAATCAGGTTCCCCAGCACTGATGTGGTCAGCTGATTGTTTTTAGAGTTCTGAAAGTAACAAAAATAATAATAATAATAAATTCATTATTGAATAGCCATATAGCATACTGGAAAGAGCACTGAATAAGGAGTCAGGAAACCTAGGTTGTGGTCCCAGCTTTGCCTCTGACTCAATGGGTAGCCTTGGATAAAGTCTCTCCCCCTCTCCCAGCCTCAGTTTATTCTTTATAAATATGCCAATTCAAGGCAACAAGCATTTCTAAAGCAGAGTATATACACGGTCAATAATCCTTGCATTGTCCTCCTTACAGACATAATGTAAGGACCAAATGAGAGAGTAGAAATAAAATACTTTTGTATAAGGAGTCCCCAGTAGGTGACTGTGGAAAAGGCTGTAAACAGGCAGTTTTCAAAGGAAGAAACGCAGTCATGTTAAGAATGTACCAAATCACTAAAAACACAATAAATGCAAATTAAGTAATCCTGAAGTTTTGCCACACACCCGTGTATTTGAAAGTGATAAAAGACAAAAAATGGCAAATACTGGGGGAGGGGGAAGGAGGGGAGGTGTTGAACATACCAAAACTCAAATACACTATTGATGGATGAGTGAATCAGTCCAACCACTCTGGAAATCAGTTTGGAATTCTTTTTCTCTTATTTGAATCTTCTTGTACAAAATGATGAATATAGAAATATTTTATATGATTGCATATGTATAACCTATATCTTATTGCTTACCATCTCACAGAGGGGGTAGAGGAGGAAGGGAGAGAGAATTTGAAACTCAAGACTTAAAAAAAAACAAATGTTAAAAAATTGTTTTAACATAATTGGGGAAAATATGTGTGTGTGTATAAAATAAAAATAAGGAGGGAAAAGTAATTTTACTGCATATACATATCCTTTGACCAATGATACCACTTACTATGTTTATACTACCAGGAGGCCAGAGATAGAGGGGAAGGTTTTATATGTGTGTTTATATGTATGTATATGTGTGTGTGTGTGTGTGTGTATACAAAAATGTTTCTAGCAGCATTTTTGTAGTAGCAAAAATTAGAAGGAAAGTGAGTGCCTGTGAGGTGGAGAAGGTCTGAACAAATTGAGACATATGAATGTAGGGGAAAATTACAGCACCGCAGAAAATTAACAAGTATAAGGAATTCAGATAAACTTGGCAAGCTTTATATGAACTGATACAGAACAAAATAAGCAAAACCAGGAGAAAAATGTATGCAGTAACCACAATCATGTAAAAGAAAATAGCACTGTGGGACAGCTAGGTGGCACAGTGGATAGAGCACGGCCCTGAAGTCAGGAGGACCTGAGTTCAAATTTGGCCTCAGGCACTTGACACTTACTAGCTGTGTGACTCTGAGCAAGTCACTTAACCCCATTGCCTAACCCATAAAAGAAAGAAAGAAAGAAAGAAAGAAAGAAAGAAAGAAAGAAAGAAAGAAAGAAAGAAAGAAAGAAAGAAAGAAAGAAAGAAAGAAAGAAAGAAAGAAAGAAAGAAAGAAAGAAAGAAAGAAAGAAAGAAAGAAAGAAAGAAAATAGCACTGAAAGACTTGGAAGGTCTCAGTAAGGCAGTGACTGTTTTAGCTTCAGTGACCAACCTTGAAACCTGCCTCCTTCCTCTCAGGAGATCAGGAACAAGGCACACATTTTCAAAAATGGGCAATGTGTTGATTTGTTTAGCTTGTCTATACTTGTTACAAGAGAGCTGGTAATGGTGGCAATGCCGATCTTGTTTATGGAGGGGGTGGGAGAGGTACTCAGGAAGTGGCTATAACATTTAAAAAAACTTCAAAAACATTTAAAAAAAGGAAAAAATAAATTATCTGGTCATTTAGAAATGTCAGCTAATATTTTCATTATTGTCATTGTTGTTAAAAATATCTTTTATTATCCACCTGGAAATCAGTTTGGAATTCTTTTGCTCTTATTTGAGTCTTTTTGTACAAAATGATGAATATAGAAATATTTTATGTGATTGCATATGTATAACCTATATCTTATTGTTCTGCATCCTATAACTAATCAAGGCATGATGTGAAGGTGGCCTGGGGTCTAGAGGAGGAGAAGAAGGAACCCAAACTCAGGAAGGTCTTACTAAATTGAAATGGTTTTCCATCCCTGGCCCTTTGCCAGTCCACCATCCAAAAACTAATCTGCCTAAATTGAGGGAGGCTCTTCACCAAGAATTAACCACAAAGGAATGGATTTTCTGGTCAAAGCAATTCACAAAGCCACCTACTAAAGGCATGGAGAAGGGATTATCTGAGTGGACAGAGGAAGTATCCATATGGATGATATCGAGGACTCACACAATAAATCTTTCTGTGGGCTTACTTCCAGAGAGAAGATAATGTGTCTGCACAGGTAAAACCATATTGCAAGAAACCTGGAGTAAAATTACCTGCTCTGATGCTATCATTGGCTCCATTCAAGTACTTGAAAGCATCTACTCCCTCTACTTCCTTCCAAAAGAATCTGTTCTGTTTTACTCTTAAATGTCTCATTCCATGTTTTACTCCACAAGTTTTCTCAAGTCTTTCAAGATTTTCATGTACAATCATCTTTTCTATTGTACTGTTATGGAAATGCTTGTTTTATTCCACAAATTAAAAATAAAATTTTTAAAAATTTTAAAAAGAGTTACATAGAGCAAAAATGTTAGATACATTTTAACATAACAATCCCACATGTGTACAGCACTTAATGCTTTTTGAAGTGTTTTTACATACAATAGCATATGCAAGATCAGGTATTAGTTATTGCCTTTATTTTGCAGATAGGGAACCCCACAAAGAATACCAAAGAGGAATGATGAAAAGAATGTGAAAAGAAACTTGTGAGGAAAGAATACTAAGGAAGGAGATAGAACAGCCATCTCTCTTTAGGTAATCACAGTGACCCACAGGAAATCTGCCTCCACTTACCAACTGGCCCGTGATGTCTAGATTAATGGACCCAGACTTCTGCATGAGGAAGTAGATTGAATCAAGCATCTCCTTTGGGAATACAAAGTTAACCATGGCATTCCTAGAGCCCACTCGTTGCGGCAAGGAGAAGGAGGACACACCTGGAGGGAGAGTGATCGGCTTGCCCAGCAGATAGAATGTGATCTAGTCAGAGAGTTTGAGGGAGAAAAACAGGATCTTAATACAGACCTCTATAACATCAGTATTGCTCTTGAAGGCCAGAAGACTTTACTGGGTATGGCAAGGAGTCAGAGTAAGATCAGATTACCAGCATCAGGGCATTCCTGCAGTTGGGTTTGATTAGCAAGACTGACTCATTTCATGGAGGGGAGCATCAGCTCATGAAGACCCACCCCAGGTGCACGTTTGCTGTAGTGAACTTTCTTATATTGAGCCCTTTGAGTTCGAGCTCCCTAGTACCAAAGTCTTGCACAATTGCCATCTTAGACCCACTTCTAACCACACCCAATGCCAAGATTCTTATATTATTAATACCTACTCCCTATGTAATCATTCTTGCCACTTTCTTTTGCTTCCTCATAATTCATATGGTTTTCACTATATTTGAAGAAGTTTCCTTTATACATGATAGAGCCTTTCATGATGGATGTCCATGTCTTTTATGGCCCTTCCTATGAACCACAGAAGCAGACACTACCTCTGCTGGCCTTCAACATGGGTTTGGGTCCAAAAACCAAATAAGTGATACCATTCCTGATTATTTCATGTTGTTTTAGGACTTTTTAAAGAACCTCTATACTCCAGCCCCATCAATTCAATTTATTTCAATTCTCTCAATTTCTGTGTCTATAAAATGATGGGAATATGTGATCTCTAAGGTCCCTCCCTTCTAGTGCTATGAATTCAACAAGTATTTATTAAGTGCCTACCGTATGCAGAAGCTAGTGTTAGGTGTTCGGGAAAAGATAGAGTTTAGAAAAGACTACGTGGCCCTCAGGAAAAAATATGAAATATACAAAGATAATATAATATCTTTATTCTTATCTCTCCTTCCCAACATATTCCTTCTGCTCCAACTAAGTCAGTTTCCTCCATATTTTGCAGCACATGATATTCACACCCAGTTTCTATGACTTTGTTTAAATTGTTCTCTCCTCACCTGAAGTGCACACCATCCTGTCCTCTCTAAATCCTGGCATCTTTTGAGGTCCACCTCATGTCCCACTCCCTCCAGGAAACTTATCCTTATTATCTTCACCTATGGTAGTCTCACTTTCTCCAGGTTTCTGCAGTACCTAGATTCTGAACTTAATTTATCCCTTGATCAAATCCCATGATGCATTCTTTGTTCATTGTGACATGTTCTATTTTCCCCTGAATAGGCTTTGAGACACCGGAGGGCAGGGCCTGGGCCTCATTCTCCTATCTACATCACAAGTTAGCCCAGGCAGGTACTCAAGGAATCCTAGGCTGTTTGGGCTATTAGGGAAGCAAGTCCTTTATTAAAACCTGAAGGTTCCCAAACTAAAAGGTAAAAGGTGTGGCAGGAAGTTGGAGACTAGTGAGTAATAGGTAACTTACATTGATATTCAGGGACATATGTTCTTTGGAGATGGTGGGTAGGTGGGTCAAAGAGTAGCTGATCTGGGATTCAGGACCAAGAGGTTGGAGACCTAGAATTGTAAAAGAACAAAATCTCTAATCTAGAACCACTATTAGAGATTGCCTAGTGCAATAAAGACCACTCTGTATGTGGATAGAGCACTGGACCTGGAGTATGGAAGATCCGAGTTCAGTTCTAGCCTCAGATACTTCCTAGCTTTGTGACCATGAGCAAATTAACTAACCTCTGCCTGCCTCAGTTTCCCCATCTATAAATGGGAATAATAACAGCACCTCCCTCCCAGGGTTGTTGTGAACATGAAATAAAATAATATTTATAAAGTACCCGACACATAGTAGGTGCTCTAAAAAATTGAATTTACTTCCTTCCAATACTCTCATTTTATAAAGGAAGAAAATAAAGCCAAGAAAGAGGAAGTGCTACATGCCTGAAGTCATAAGCAGAGTTAGTATCAGAACTAGTCTAATAGTCTATGTTCTAACAACCTTTCCAAACCTGCCATTCTGTATTCTATGGTCCTAGGGCCTTTCTAGGTCTGATGTTCTATGGTTCTTGTCATAGGCATCAGGTATAGTGGAAAGATCATTGGATTTGGAGTCAGACAACCAGGGTTTAACCATCTTCAATACTGACTAGATGGATGAATCGTTTAACCACTCTGAGCCTCAGTTTCCTCATCTGTAAGATGGGAATGATAGAGTGGTAACATGATATATTGGAGAGAACACTCAATTTGCAATGGGAAGACCAGAGTTCAGATGCTTGACCTACTACTCAAGGACTTGTGAGACCTTAAGCAAGTCAATCCCTTTGGGCTTCAGTTTCCTTATGGGTAAAATCAGGAGACTTGAAGCAGCGGATCTCAAAAGTCACTCAAAAGTTCCATATCCTATAATTCTATGAACCATACTTTTGACTTGATTACAGGGATGCTAAATGGAGAGTGCTCTATAAGCTGGAAGGTTACCTATAAACATGTTGGCTTCCTCACATAGCCCAAGACACAAGCCTGAACACAGAGCAGGTGCCTATCTTGGAGATTCATTGATGACTAATTGCATCTAGTGATCTATACTCCTAGATATTGGCTAAGTACGCACTGTTCTCTTGACTTATATTTGATGATCCTGATCCCTTGAACCTGAGGGGCACCTGTGATGCCCCATGAATCTGGGCCCAGCCAGAAGGTGAGCAGCCAAAGCAAGTCAGCTCACAACACTTACCAATCATTGTACCCAAATAAATATTCAGTCCTTCAACCAGGAAAAGGAGCTTCGAACATAGCTGTACCAACCAGAAAGAGGACAAACACCTCGTTAATTAAGTACATGGTCAAGGCTAAAGAAGACAGAGCCAGGGGCCATCTACACCAATTAATTCATTAGCAAGCATTTATTAAGTGCTTATGATGTGGCAGGCCCCTTGCTAAGCACTGGGCACACAAGCAAAAAAGAAATGCCCACAAGGAGCATACATTCTAATGGAGGAGACAGCATGTACATAAATAGATAAACACAAGAGAGTAGATGGAAGGCAACCTCAGAGGGAAAGATGTTAGCAACGGGGGGCACTGAGAGAGATCTCCTGCAAGATCTATCCCCAAAATCCCTCCTTTTCTAATGAGCCTAAAATGGCTTCAGTGGGGATAAAGATCTCCATCCTCAAATAGAAGACAAGGCTGAAAAGGTCAATTAGGCTGAGAGAGGTATCCCGGGAACAGATAGATATTCATGGGGAGGAAAGGGGAATGGTAAGGTGCATCAGGTCTTAGAGTCTCTCCCAAGGTCAAGAGACCTTAAAAAAGGAGATATGGGAATTAGGGAGAGCAGAAATAGTACCCAAAACCAAAACTGGGGACACCAAAGACAAACTTGACCCACTTCGAAGTTTTGCTACCCTTAGGCCATTCCTGGGGACAATTGTTCCCTCCCTTCAGGACTTTTCTGTAGGTACAAAAGTGATTTGAAACCATAAGCAGCTATAAAAACATTAATTAAGGTTAAAGAGTTGTTATCAAGTCATTTCCTTGCTATACAAACCCACAATGGATTCCTACTTAAGTAGGAATTTCATTCCAGGAAACAATGTGTATCTGCTGATAAATTACTCTTTTTCTGTCCTCAGAAAAATGTAAACTATGTAATCCAGAACATTTTCATTTTTGCTGTAGGATCCAGGAAATTTAGAGCCACATCTCTTGACCCAGAGCTTTCCTGCCAAAGGCATTTCCTCTGTTTCAATCTATTCTGAAGTAAGCAGGGGAATGATGATCAGCACCTTTTAAAATAGCAATAACAGTCCTTCACAATGTACATACGGCACTTTGGGACTTTTCAAACTATTTCTACATCTGCCACCTCCTTTGAAACTTGGGACTTCCCTGCAAAGTCAATAAGTAATGAACTTTCCTCATTTACAGGTGGCAAAACTGTCCAAAGAAATCCTAAGAAGGATGTTAAGAGAATGTTGGGTAGGATGTGAATAGATGATGGTAGGAAGATGTGGAAAAGGCGGGGGGAGGGGGGGGATATAAGGAGAATCCTACAGAGTCATAGGCCTCTCCAGTCACCTCCATAAGGTCCTGGGGTATCACAAGAAAAGAGTCCCTGCCAGAGACCACTGCTCCTCTATCCCCACAGGCTCAAACTCCAAGCCTAGAAAGGGACCCCTCCAGCAGAAATCTGTCCTGGCCTCTCAATTCATTTGGGAAAATAGATAATACAACAGGGTGTGTTTCACAGATGAGAGAAAAGGCCTTGCTCCAAAATCGTCCTACTGATGCTTAAAATTCTATTATCAGAGTTGCTAATTTTGCTGGCATTTGAATTAAACATTCCAAAAGGTTGAAGTCAAAAGGTTCTTTACCTTATCAGGTAAGATAATCCTAATATATCCCTGGATAGGATTCCATAATTCTTTTAACCTAGAGAGGTCAAGTAAAACGTGCCTATCAGATAAGGTGAATACACATCCCGCCAGCTCCACAAACTTAGCCCAAATGTCCAGAATGTAAGCTGCTCCCTGCCTTCACCTGGGTCCTCTCCCCTACAGCTTTCTTCAGCACTCCCCATCAGAATATCACAATGGACTGTCCCCTATGGGAATATATGAAGGAGGGTTTGTATGAAGCTCACAGTCTTTCCTAGAAGGAAGAGACCTAGAAGGAAGGGACCTAGAAAAAAGGGAACCATCTAGTCTAACTTATACCTGGATCCTAGAGGCTGCTAGGTGGTTCAATGGATAGAGAGCTGGACCTGGAATCAGGAAGACCTGAGTTCAAATCTAGCCTCAGACATTCACTGGCTGGGTGACCCTGGGGCAAGTCACTTAATCCTTTTCACCTCAGTTTCCTTATCTGTAAAATGAGCTGGAGAAGGAAATAGCAAACCACTCTAGTATCTTTGCCAAATGGGGTCAAAAAGAGTCAGACACAGCTGAAACAACTGAACAACAAAATACCTGTATTCTAATCCCTTCTACAAATTCTACACTATGTGTTCACTCAGTCTCTGTGAGAGACTTAGTTACTCCCAAGGGGGCCATTCCATCCCCGGGCAGCTGTAATCATCAGGACGTGTTTCTCCATGGTGAGACAGACTTTGCCTCCCTTCCCTTCCTCCCACTGCTCCAAGTTCAGCACTCTGGGACCAAGCAGAAAAAGTCCAAGCTTTCTTCTATGTGACAGCCATTAGAATACTATTTGCATGTGATAATACAGGCTGGACTGAGTATCCTCAGTCACTGAGCAATCCCAGGCTCTCTCCAAACGTTTGGGGTAGAAAGGCAGCTGCTATATATGGGAAAGATCACTGCCTTTGAAGTCAGAGGATCTGAATCCCAGCTCTGCTACATGTGTGACTGTGAGCAAATCATTTAACCTTCCTGAGCATCTGTTTTGTCAGCATCTGTAAAAAATGAGTGGAGTAAATTAGACCTCCAAGTACCCTTCCAGCTTTAAATGCCACAATTTCACATGACCTTGGGACTAGGAGTCAGGAGGTCTGGATTCTAATCCCAGTCCACTAGCATACTGATATATGTATGACCTTTGGCAGGTTATCAGTATCATAGACCATAGATTATCACTGCAGGAAGGGATTTTTCATCCAAATCCTTTTGTTTTTCTGAAGAGAAATTTGAGGCTCAGATCAGGAGAAATGACTTGCCCAAGGTCAGGCAACAAAGGAGAATCAGAGCCAGCACTAACTACCTAAGACCCTGCCTAACTCGTTTGTCCAGAACTTTTTTTAATATACGATGATGAAAGAAGTCTCAATTTGTTCATCAGTTAATAAACAGTAAGTAGGGAATTAATGCAGAGGATCATTGGCTCAGGGATACCTTGCATAATCTTTTCTAAGACTACATCTAAGTTATTTAGGATGTCTGAGATCTCAAGTGTCACCAAAACCAAGTCATCTCCTACATTGCTGTCTTTGCTTATGCTGTTCTCTCTACCTAGAATTCCTCTCCTCACCTGTTCACCCATGGAATTCGTACCCATTCTCAAATGTCAACTCATTCAGAAAGGTTTCTTTGATATCCCCTAGGCTGATAAAAAAAATTCCCTTCAGACTTAAAGTAGCACTTTGAACTTCTCTCGTGTAATATTGCACATAGTAGTTATTTATGAATTGTTCTACTCCTTCACTAGACTATAAGCTAGTGGAGATGCAGGCAGGGACCCTGACATATACATTTGAATTTCCTATATTCCAGAGGTTCTGCATATTGCAGTTACTCAATATGGGTTTATTAAATTAATGAACTAATGAATGAATGAAAGCCTAGAATCCCTGGTATAACTGAAGACTCCCAGGAGCCCTATCACTTAACCCTCTTCCATCACTTGACCTATAAAAAGTCCCACATCCAGGCCCCTGCTGATGTGACACACATGATATAAAGAGATGCTCAGGACACATACCCGTCCTCTCTGTAGGTAACGGTGATATCCTCAGGGATGGATTCGCAGAGAGAAACGCCCACAAGTGGTGATCCTATGGTGGCTTGAGTAACAACTATATCTGCCGTGATATTAATACCCACTCTTACTTTGTGAAGATTCTTTGTTCTGTACAGAAATAACCCAGAATTCACTTTTTCACTCTTTTGACTTTATTTTATCATATCTTGTCATCTCATTGAGTCACTGGCTTCCACTTGATCCAATCTAATTGTCAAGGAGTTTGATTTTGCACAAGGTTTTATAACTCTCGTACCAAGCCATTAGTTTCCTGCCCAATTTTGTCTTCCACAGTTCACATTTCTTTTCCAGTTTTTTTCCCTACCATTTTCATTTTATTAACAAAAAATATTTTAACAACTTTTTAAAAAATTCTTGCTTCATCTCATCCAAAAGTTCTAGTTGAATGTGTGCCTATTCTGTGCTTTTCTTTGAGATTTTGCGTGTAGATATTTTAGAATCATTCTCTTTTTCTGGATTTGTATCTTAGGCATCCCTGTCACCATATTTTTTTTTATTTTTCTGGTGAGATTTTTTTTTGTTTGCTTGTTTGCTCATTCTTCCAGCCTTACTTCCTAAGTTTGGACTTGGTGTTAGAGTTGGGCTTTGTGCACTTCTGAAGGGAAGGTCTAGGCTAGTCCTACTGATGCTTTCTTGGGGTATTGAATGTCACATTGTTCCAGGATCCCAGGGACAGCTCAGGCTGGGGGACTTGCCAGCTTTCAGAGCTCCCAAAGTGGTCAGATCCAGTTTAAAGCCTGATTGCTGTCTCCCTGGTCTGAATGATGCCAATTCCTGTCCTAGGTTGGGTCTGGGCAACAGCAAACTGCTGTTGGATTCAGCCCCTATCATTGAGCTGGGAAGCTCTGTTAGTTCAGAGTGATAGAAATTCAGGCTCCCCATTGGTCTGGAATTCCTGCCCTGGTTATGCTTCTACAGGTTTCAGACTGGACTAGAGCTGTAGCTGAGGCCCTGCTCTGTTCCCAGGTTCCGTCACAATGCTGCTGCTTGCTTCTAAAATAGTTCTTCTCTTGATACACAGCCCAGAACCTGAAGGTGCTGGAGATGCAGAGGGTAATGAGAGACGAGTCACGGTGCAGATGCCCTCCTCAGTCCACCCCCAGATGTGTGACCTGGAACTGGGTAGTGGTTGGCAAAACTGCCAGTTGGCACGTGTCACCATCAAGGTGCCCCAGCCTGGGTCTAGGGTTGCCCCAGTATGAGCTTAGGATTATTATTTGCCCTCAGGCACAGTCTCTTCCTGTGCTGGAGTGCTCTATACTCCTGGTCAGACCCCAACCTCGGTGTCCACAGACCTCTCTGCCTGTCTCCTTATGCTGATACAGACTGGAAAAATGACACTGTAACTCTTTCTTGGATTTCCCCATCAGGATTTGATCTAGCACATTTTCCAGATCTGTCTGGAGGAGTTTGGGGGTGAGGGGAGCAGAGCTCACCATAGTGCCTCTTGCTCCTCCTCCAATCTGAGTCTAATAGCCTTTCCTCAGTCCTCATCCTTGATTTCTCTTCGGCCCCCAATGCTATCAATCACTCTCTTCTCCTCAATACTCTCTTCTCTCTAGGTTTCTGTGACACTGCTCTCTGCTGGTTCTCTCCTTACCCGTCCATTTTTTCTCAGTCTCCTTTGCTATATCATCTTTGCCCGCTAAAAGCAGTTGTGACCCAGAGTTCTGTCCTGGGCCCTCTTCTCTTCTCCATCTATACTATACTATACTATACTATACTATACTATACTATACTATACT